TACCCACAGAACTTTGAGAAGGCAACGGTGTCAGATCATCATTTCTACAGACAGGTAAAGTGAAACACAGGAGGAGCTACGTTTCAAACGCTGATTTATTCTGGGTGCCAAAACTGAAACCCTCCAGACCTGTTTCTGTGCTTGCAGAACAGTAACAGATGTTCCTGATTCCAAGCTGATATGTACAAGTGGAGCTGTGAGATACACAAAGCAGCCACAAAGGTGTCTTAATCTTGGCACCCAAATTAAAGTCTGCTCTGGTGGCTGCTGCTGTCAAACTGGAGAAAAGCAATATTAACTCTGACTTGGCATCCTGTGCTCAGTCCTCTGAGTGTGCTATCTCCAAGTACTTCGGGGTTAGAATGGAAAAAAAAGCTTTGTAAAAGTCCTTTGCTTTCTGTAAAACTGTGTCACTTGTGAAGGTAACAGGACAGAAACCAAGAAAGCAACCAACACAACCCTGCTCTTCTCAGCTGGGCCACCAAAGTAATGGTGGAGGGCTCTTATATGGAATTTTTAAAGTCACAACCTAAAAAAAAAAAAAAAAAAAGAAGGTATAAGAAGGTATAAAGGTGCTCATTTTATACTGGGAAGAAGATGAATACCTGGAAAAACTTACCAAAGCCTCTACATGACGGCATTTTTTGTTGGCTAAGCTTGAATTCTGAAGAGGGCAATTCTTCAGCAACCAGAGAAAAGTTTAACCTGAAGCCCTAGATATTGAGCCCGAGTTTTTATTTTACAAGGACAAACTAACAGGTCCCAAACGTGCACAGGAACCTCCTGTATCCTCAGCTGACCATATGAATCTGCACGTAAGAGCTCAATCTCATCCACAGTAACACACATAAAATAATGGCAATTTTAGTACTTTTAGTACTATTTACACTAGATGAGACCACTAAAGACCCGTAAAAGAGCGAACCTTCAAAGATATACAGTCTGCTTAAAAGTCAAACAAGCTATTGACGTGCCCAGGGGACTTCAGTTCACTGCTATGTGAAATGATTTCTGAATTTTTCATCGAGGCATCGCTGGAAATGTATAATATATGTCCAGTAATTCCAAGATCTATTCCAAGTGTGAAATTGCTTGAGGCAGCCAAAGGCTTTGCTGGGGACTCTGAGGGCACGCTCACAACGGAGCCACGGGGACTGCAGCCGGCTCTGCTTGTGTTAACCCCACACTGAGGGAGCCACGAGCTTCTGCTGACGCGGAAAAGTGCGGATGGAAATGCTTTGGGCTCCTTCCTCACAGCCATCACACAAATTCCCCCCATTTAGAATTCTGCCACAAAAATACCTCGAATAACAATAATAGAAGAAAATGTTTCTTTTATTATCACGTTACAGCCCACAGCTTTTGGAAAATAGCAGACTACCATAGAATCTGCCTTGGCAAGAAAAGGAGATTAAAAACTGAACCTAATACAGGGACAGAAGGGAAAAAACACCCTCTTCATCTCAGCAGGGTGCTGATGCTGCAAGCCAGCAACAATGCTGATGTTTGTATCACCACAATATTTTTCACCATTAAGCATTTTTAAAGATGACAGCTGCCTAATATTCCTCATCCAAAGGCAGTGAAAAAAATAAAAACACCACCAAACAAAAACAACATTTTGAAGAAATCCAAAAGCATTACGGCCTACATTTGTAAATAATTTAATGCTCACATACAAAAATACTGCTTCATATGGTTCTGAGTTAGATAGAAGAGGAATACAAAATCCAAAGGAAGGCTAGAATCTCTAGAAGATAAACGTTATTAGAGATGCAAGAAGTTATTTTTGAAATAAAATAAAGTTAAATAAAACAATTGTGTAATACATCTTAATTCACTTACTAGCTGGGAATTCCCATGCATTTGTATTTATAATATCTGAGACACTTTTTTAATACAAAATGAGAACAGCTTAGAAATCATTCATTTGACCACCTCGTAGTAAGGGGAAAACTAGTTTAGTATTAGCAATTATTGTAATTATTTACACCACTGCACAGAAATAATCCTGCTCTGAAAGTCTGGAGCTCACATTCCCTGGGTAGAGGAGGCTCAGGGCAGGTCAGAAGTTGGTTTTTAAGAGAAGCCCAAGAAAGCCTTTCAATGCACTCACTTCACACCGTATCTGTCCCGGAACATGATGTGATCCCTGTACGTCCGATTCACATCCAGGTCAATCTGTCGGATAAAGGACGAAGACCCCCGTGCTTGCCACCTCAATTTCTGGGGAAAACAGCAAAGACCAGAGATAAAGTTTAAAATTGTGAGCTCTAAAATAGCAGAAAGCTGTCTGACCGCACACCCATACCAAAGAGTTTGCCAACGTGTGGTTTAAAACAGTGCAGAAGAGCCACTCGCAGGATCACAAGTTTAACTTCCAAAATATGCAGAAACAAAAGAGTCAGACGCAGTCACACAGCAGAGATGTAAAAAGACCATTCTCATAACACACTTCTTTTTGACACCTCATTCACTACCCATCTTTAAGGCTGTTTCAGCATCTCCAATTTCTTACTGCCATTTCTCTCAGGCAGACACAGCACTGGAGAAAGACGGAAAATTAATTTCACTACTCAGGAACAAGAACTGAGATCCAAGTGCTCCAGACTGGACTTTCAGCAAGTGATTTAGTGTGGTTTTCATGCTTTTCCTGCCTTTTTCTCTAAGCAGAAGTCATAGCTATAGAGCTGCCAGTTATTATCTAAGTACAGATAATGGACATTTCTCTAGTAATTTCCTGTCTTTCTGTTCTAATCTAATTTAGTTGTAGAATATGTCTACTTTAGCACTTGCTTTAGTGTTTTATAATTAAATCCATTTTTGTAATTGAATACTTAGGAAGCCTGCACAGGTTAGATTGACGCCTTATTTTCTGCACTTATGATAATTTTCTCTTGACATTCATTCATTTATTCTCTCTTCTGTCCCTCAAAGTTGAGTTTACAAGACCCTGAATTCAATGGGAAAATGGAGAGCAGCAAAATGAGCTTATCACACATAAACAACCCAGCATAATGATGGAAGAAACTCTTTCTACTTCTATATCTGAACTACAAACACTTCTTTGTTTGGCATCCAGCATTAGATGGCATTAATCATTTCTGAAAGATGAATTCACCTATTTTTAAATATTTCTAGTTTTACTCGGCATTCTTCCCCACAACTGGATTATTCAGCATTAACTCCGTTTTATCCCTTTTGGATCTGCACTAGTCTTACTTAGGAAGGTAAAAAAACCCCATAATAATCAGAAGAAGCAACCTGTCAGACTACAGAGCATTAAATAACTTTAGAGGAAGATCACAGACACCAAAATTTAAATATCATCAATGTCAACATCCATCTTTCATGACCATATAAGATTTCTTATCTACTCAGACCCTAAGCACAGTTCCAAAACAGTGCTATTACAGAATGTCCAAAAAAAAAAATCAAACCAGCAGTGCATTTCCTTGAAACTCTGGACATTATTCCTTTAAAAGGAAACACTCTAGAACACCGAACTGCCTTTCTGTTAGTCAAGTTCTGCTCTAACCCTTTAGCAGAGAGGAAAAGATAGACTTTTAAAGGATTTGATTCTCCTTCTGCCCAACTTATGAGCCTGCACATGGACCCTGCTCTCCACTCCTGGGTCTGAAGATCAGCTCTGATGGTCAGCAGCTTATTGATATCCATGGAGAACTAAGAGGTAGGAGGGAAAAAATTGAGAGGAACATAACGACAGTTATCCCTTCCAGAATACTGGAACTCCTTTTACTGATATTCAGCTAACAAGGGACTTCCTTAATGGACATTTTCAAAGAGCTGTAGTTTCCAAAGCTTCTGCCTTCTTACCTGGATGGGGGATTTTTCTTACTTCGTTTTGTTTTGATTTTAAAAGGGCTTTTGCAAGTATTTGAGAATGGGAAAAGAAACTGAAAGGAGATCAAATTAATTCCATGAATTTCAGAACCAAAAAACAGGCTGGAAAAGTGCTTTTCAATACACAGCTTTTTCCCTGGTTAAAACAAGCAGCAGAGTGCAATGTAATTTCCAATATATTTTTTAATGCTGCATAACAACAAAGCTTAATGAAGGCTGATTTTTTTTTAATCTATGTTAAGTGGAAATTCTACAAACTCACGTTGTACAAGTCTTTCATTTCTTCTTTCATTTTAGGGACATCGAGTAGTAAAGACCAGACTTGTCCTCTGAACTGCAGTGGGATCCCTTTATAAATCCTCCTATGAAACTGTAAAAAGAAAAAGAAAATATGAATGCAGCAGAATCTCTGAACAAAAGGAACAGTGATGTCAAATGTGTTAAAGAGGAAAATGCAATTACACCAAGTGTGCCAGCAAAAGGCTGACCTGCTGGGGGACAAAGTGTTCCGATGTCTTTTAGGGACCGAAGGCGTCTGGTGATTCCATCTGGGACCTCTTGACAGAATCCAGAGGCACAGGGACAAAAAGGGGACACAGGTAAACCTGTGCAGGTGATGTTTACAAACGTTTTGCATGTAGGAAGGTCTATCAACACTGTATCACCTTTTTTTTTTTTTTTTTTGCTATTTAAGACCCCAAAACCCCAAATTCTTCGCAACACAGTATTTCCTGATAGGCCACAAATAACTCACTATAATTAAAATCTATAAACAGTGAAATGGTGAAAAGCAATATCACAGATTTTTTAAGATTACCAGTAAAAAACCACAAAAGTAAAACTGATTTTTGAATGCTTGTAGAACTGCAGCAGTGTGCTGAAACGTATGTAGGCAACGAAACAAACTGTAAGATCACAAAAAAAAAGACACTGAATTTGCCATTTCTAAAGCTAACAGATCTCAGATAGTATTTCTAAACCAATAATCAGTTTTCCATATGCACATTAAAGCATTTGCACAAAAACAACATAAAAACCACCAAAAAATGTTATCTTTCTGGAGGCACGTCTAAGAAGAGAAAAATAAAAAAAAGAGAACTCTGACAAAGAAAATGAACCTTTCTGAAGTTATGTTTTTATCATCACTGTGATGTTACACAGGGAGACAATTAGATTTAGAAGAGAATAAAACACACACAACTGCTCTCCAAGCAACTCATTCTTTGCATTTATCCTACAATGAAAGTTAGGCCTTAAAAATTCCAACAGAAAAAGTTATCACTTCCTTCAAACATTTTTATAGAAGTTATGTTTGCAATACAAGAAATGTCCTCCTCAAAGACAAGATCGTTTTTCTTTTCACGTATTTCACATCTCCAGTTTTGGAAAATTAATGAACCCTTCGTTGCAGTAAATTTGCAAACCTCCTGCTGCTTGGGATGTATCAGATCTTTAAAGGTGTCTGTAATGCCAGCAAGGATTTGTGCATGGATTTCAAAATCCAGAACTCTTGCACAAGTAAGGTTATGACTTTTTTTCCCCTTTGTTCCTTGTCAAATGAAAATTTTAAACATGTGTAAGAGACAACAGCAATCCTGGAGGCTGCCCCCAAATAAAAAATATTGTGCTTTATACAGAAAACTTTGCTGCTTTAATGCTAAGAATGCTAAAGCCGCAACACTTGTAGTGTGAGCACAGCTGTGTCAGTCCAGTTTCTTCTGGGAGGATAAAGAAGAATGTACAGAAGTACAAAGCAGCTCCTGTACAGATGGATAGCCAGAGCTCAGGTCACCCTGAGAATTCAGTGTGTGTCACCCCAGACCAGGGGGAACTGCCTGGGAGAGAGAATTCAGTCTTGGGAAAGCCCAACAGGAAGAAAAGCAGTGATTTATGACAGGTAGTTTTACTCCTCAGCCCCGTGGTACAGTAACAGAGCACCCTCACAACAAACATTTTTGGCAGTTAACTAGAATTTTGTAACTTGTCTGCAAATGTTTTCAAGAACAGAAGATTATTAACGAAGAGAACTAGTTGAGGAATAAATTCTCAGAACTGCTGTTGTAAATTAATGTTTTGGGAGAAGGTCAGGTGGATATCAAAGGCCAGAAATAAGCCTTTGTAACAATAGCTTTTCATTTATTAGAATCAAAATAATTCAAACCATCCAAAGTATGGGGCTCTTCCAGGAGTTTGTTTTTTTTTTTTTTTTTGGGGGAGGGGGGGAGATAAAACTGAAGGAGAAGAATCACTGGTTTCAGAGGTGTCTATGGCATTTACAGTTTTCCCATCTTCTGTGGTACCTGGATTGAAACAGCCAAACACCAGGTAAGTACAAACTAAGAGAACTGTGGAAGTGCTTTTTACAGAAAAGTTTGAGAAGTGAGTTAGCAAATACAACTTTAAAAAGAGTGGAAAGGACAGAGAGTCCAGCAGTTTCATCAGCCTACAACAGATATGCCAAAAAAAAAAAAAAAAAAACCGAGGAGGAAAGCAAACATTTTGAGTAGATAAGGTCTGAATTATTGCACTACCTGACAGAATAAACCCAAATAACAGCCACAGCTTCTTACAAACCATTTTAGATCTGTCTTCAGCTGACTCTGCTATTCCAACTGCTCTTTTATTGAGGCAGAGAAAAAGCTCTCAGTCATCCCAAGTCATTACCAGATCCTGCCTAGAGGCTCAGAGAACACAAGACCAAAGACTTCCACTGTCTACCTGATACAGGAGAGAGAAAAGTCCCTCAAGAACAGAACCTGGCACAGGCTCCACTGCACAGACAACATGGAAACAAGTGTGGCACATTTCATATACAAGGAAAACCTGAGTGGCTGATACACCAGAGGGTGCTGCTGCCACCCAGAGTGACCTCAGCAAGCTGGAGGAAGGGGACGGCAAGAACCTGGTGGAGTTCAGCAAGGAGAGGTGCAAAGTCCTGCACCTGGGGAGGAACAGCCCCAGCAGCACAACGTGCTGGGGGGTCACCCAGCTGGGAAGCAGAAAGGGACCTGTGGGACCTGGAGGACACCACGTTGAGCAGGAGCCAGAACAGTGCCCTGGAAGCAACAGATGACTGAAGGGATCCCGGGCTGTGTCAGACAAAAGAATTCCCAGCAGGTCAAGGGAGTTGATCCTTTCCCTCTACTCAGCAACCTGATCTAGTGGAAGGCGTCCCTGTGCATGGCAGGGGAGTTGGAATGGGATGATCTTTAAGGTCCCTTCCAACCAAAATATAAATGAGCTAACTGATTATGAGCTGACAATCTCTGTACCATAAGCACCATAATAGTGCCCTCTGCTGGCTTTTACTTCCTTGTGTAATACAAGGTTCAAAAATCTGTTGAGAAGTACTGGTTGGCTCTATAGACTTGCAGAACCCTGATTTGCTCCTCTGCTCTCTCTGAATTAATAATTAAAATAGAAAGTAGTTAATTCAGAAACTTTTGGGTTTTTTTCTTCTGCTTCTGGGAAGATGAAATAACGAGTCAATCTTCAACAAATTCTTTAAAATTACACCTTCTTAAGATAATAGCTCAAAACAAAGCATAAATGTATATAAACTTGGAGTTCAGATAAACATGTACATCCATGAAAGCACGCATCATTCAAAGAATGGGGATATGGGATCTGGGATGTTTCCATCCACAGGGCATAGGAAAAAGAAAGTCATCCTTGATACGTGGAACCTGTATAAACACAGGATACAAAAAAATACAGGTTCTGTATCACATCTAAAATGATATTCAGCCAAGTAGAACTGTCATGCTCTTGCTATTATTAGTAATATTGTTGATCCTGATGTGGATATGACAAATGGGCACTAGATGAGGCCCTACCACCCAGGAATTCAAAAGGAGCTTCTAATGCAAAAAGGAATCACACCTGTAAACTTACAGAATATACAGAATTAACTAAAATCCTTACAAATCAAAAAGAAATAAGCCCTCTCAAATTTGAAATGCTCCAAATTAGCAATCATCTCAAATAATGGAGTCCATAACTTCCAACATTCAATGTTGCCTCCGTGCAAAAAACCTGGAAAACATATAACTTCCCCTTCCTTCCCCTGCCCCAATCTCTCCAGGACAAGAAAAGAGGCCACTGTCACACAGCACCAGCCTGAAGAGCGGAAGTGTCACCACTGCTCCTGCTAGATGTAAAATTGGTCTTCTTGAAACTCAGACTTTCTCAGCTGTGTCAGGGAGAGCTGCACAAGCAGCAGAGGGACTCTGCCACCTCAAAAAGAATCAGTGATGACAAGCATAGGAATTAAAATCTGAAGCCTCACAAGAAAGCATATTTATAATGAAAAGAAAATATATTTATAAAGCCTGCTGCCTTTAGAGGTTCTTCAACTTCAATGGGTTGCATAAAAAAAAAAAAGAAAGACTGCAAATCCAAGAGTTGCTCCACCTCATTCAGAAAATCCCAGCAATGCAAAGAGGGTTCTTCATTAAGGCTCTGTGTTCAGACTCCAAACGAAGTGGAGACTTGATTATTACACTCTGTGTGAATGCCAGAGCAGCTGGAAATGGCAAGCCACCCTGATTGTTTCTCTTCTTCCTTTCCCTCTCAATTTAGGCAACTTCAATCACACACAGATGAAGGCAGACAGGGAGAGACAGAAATACTTTGGTGGAAATCCTCAAATGGGAATACAACATATAACAGTTTTATTTAATCTTTCCTGAAAGTTATGATCATACTAAGCCAGGAAGGATTTACTATCTGTGGGTGGTTGATTGTACCCTGGACTACTGAGCAGTAGAATACAAATAGGAAATAAAAGCACAAGCCAGAGAAAACCACATCGAAACACAAACTTTGCTGCTCTGTGACACTTCCTGCATAAGAAGTGACTGATGGGGAGATGAAAGCTTTGTTTTGACAAATATCAATCACACAAAGACACAAGGGCAGTCACACACTTCAGACACCGGTGTCTGTAAGAATCATGATGACTTCACTGTAAAAGATGCCTAAATAATCACACAGGAATCCAGGAGTTCTATACACAAAGAGGAAGCGAGGCAAAAGCACCAGGAGGCCTCTGGGAATGAATAAGGAATTCATGGACCATCTCAGACAGAGAAGGGAAAACGATGAGGTGTGGGGGAAGCAAAGACAGGAATACAGAGAGACTGGACAAGGACATAAGGCCAGCAAGGCAAGCTCCTACAGGAATGTCCATGATCAAACAGTGTGAGGTTCCCAGAGCTCTCATCTCTTTCTTGAGATATTCTTCTGCAATAAAGGTCAGGGCAAGGTGTAAATAGAACCACCTCACGTGCACACATAAACACGCATCAGTGTGTTAATGTTTTCTCATTAATTCTTCTTGGGAACTTACGGGAGAAAAAAATAAGGCAGCAGCCTATAGGCAGCTCTGCAAGAGCATTAAATGAAAACTGTATTTTGCAATTAAGCCCGTGACAGTTTGGGATAATGTAATCAAATATATGGGTTCATTTACAGTATGTTTACAGTATGAATAGACTCCTCCAAGGCAAAACTCTCTCAGCTGGGCATTATGAAGGCTCATTACAAACTCTCAAGTCCTGTATTTTTGTACATACCTGCTGTATCCCTGGGACCATCACCTTCTTTGGGTCTCTCTTGGTCTCTTTTTAAGGTCACAAGTGCCTCTCAAATATGCCATTTTCCAAACAACATCATTCCTGTTGTTGCTGCTGCAGTGCTCCCTTCAGTGCTGTTTTTAAAGTACACTGGTTTCAGGAGCAGCCTCACTGCACAGAAACCATGCCAGGGTCAGGTGAAGAGAGTCTTTTAACACACAGGCTGTTCGTTTTCTTTGGCAATTTGTTGCTCTAACATTAACCACTTTATCCAGTCAAGTGAAGACTGAAGAGCCAGGAACTGTTCTTGCACCTATCGCTCCTGCGCTGCAAGAATGTGAGTGTGGAAAACTGGTGCACCACTCCAACACACTTCCAGAGAAAAACTGCCTTTAATTGTGAGTTTTGCACAACCCTGAGAACGTGGCCAGGCTTTTCATAAAGAGCAGTGATGAATAATGTCAGGCTTTCCACTGCTTTGATTCTTTGTTCTGCATGTTCTGGTTCACTTACCATGCAAGATGTGAGAAAGAATAAGGAAAACACCCTTGTTTTTTAAAGTCTCATGTGCTCCACTAGAGTTCAGCAATGAGTGAGAATTTTTTCCTAGCCTCAAGCGAAGTTCATCCCTTTATGAACATATTGAATTATTCCTGCCACTATTTATAGCTCAGCCTATAATTTGTTACATGAACTGAAACTCTTTCTGCTCAGCTGATCTGCTGTACCTTCTGCATGCCTGGTGAGGAGAGAATCATTTACCTAAGTCAGTGTATCATGGCCCCACATCACCGATGGCTGAAGAGCAGAGCCACTGCTGGAGTTGTCACTGTGTTCCCTGAAAGGTCATATTTAACATTCTCTTCGCAAACCAAGTAGCTGTTACAGATATTTTATTTTTTTATCATCCCTTTGGACTTGGAAACATATTTTTGAGTCTCCAAATCACCTTACTGCCACAGCAAAGAAACAAAGTCACAGATGTTATGACCTGTGGCTTCCCCTTCCAGAGGACAATACAGGACAAAGTAGGATTGTAGGAAAACCTTTGGCAACAAATAATTATTTTTCATGCATACACATTGTATTTTAAGAAAATGGACTTTTTAAATGGCTTCTTAGCTACACCTTGAAAAACATCAACCACTGGCTGTGGTTTTTAACTGAAGTGCAAGACACAGCTGCTGGTATCAAAACCACAGGCAGTGAGCAGACAGGATGAGAAGGGGACATACTGAGAGTCAAACAGAGGGAGGAATTCCCTGGGTATCTCAGCTCCCTGCCCATCAGGCTAAAGGAGGATTCTGGGCTCAGTCTCTCCCTTTAAAGCTTTCAACTTTGCACAGATAATTTCCTGAAGCAAAAGGCCAGCAAGGCAGCACTGCAGGCCAGTCATCTGCAGAAACCTGGGATGGGCAACTGGTGTCCCTGAGTCCCCCGGAAACACAGGTGGATCAGCAGCACCAGAAAACACACACAGAGTAACCCAACAGAAAATGCAAGTTTGAAGCCCTACTGAGGAGCAGAGGAAATCTGAGCTTGGGAAGCCCATATTCTGTGTATTACCCACCAACCTGCCACAAGACCAGCTAGGAAAACCTCCCCAGGACACAGAGTTGGGAATGCAGCCTCTCCAGCAAGTTTTATCCCCAGCTGAAAGTTTTCTGTAATTTTAAGATGACCCTGACTCCAACTGCAGCAAATCAACTACGCACACCAAAGTCCCTGCCCAGCTCTTAAGGCAAGTACTCGGTGTTTAAAGGCCCACCTGACACAACCCACTCTCTCCACAGACTGTTCTGCAGACATGAACACAGGGAACACAATTCCTTGCACTTCACCACCACTTCTGTCACTGTTATTACTATCGGGCTATACTGTGTATTTTGCTTTTCTGGAAGAACAAAAAGCCTTTTTCTTTCACTGTGGGTTTTGGGTTTTTCGGGTATCAAAGACAGGCAATCTGATTTCAGGGTACGCATCCATTCAGCAGTGACAGCCAGGGACAAAGCCATGCAGAACTTTACCTTTTCACTATTCTTGTATTTTTCCCAGCTTTTCAGCATCTTCAGCCATTTTGTTGTTCTTTCAATCTCAAGGTGCTTTTGCTGGAAAGGAATTAGAAATGTTCAGTATTTTTAAAATGAACACATTTCAAGTTATCTATGTTTTTTCTAAAAACACTGAGAAGAAGTTTAACAAAGCATCATCAACTTTTTAATCAGTCATCTAAGAATAGCAAAGAATAACATCAGTTCACTTCAAACAACCAACTGGAAATAAGCAGAAACCCTTACTTTCAGCACTATGGCAGAACTGTATTTTGGAAGAGGAGGTTAAGTACAAATTTATAAAGTTTCTTCTCTACACACTTTTGACAAATAAAAAAGCCTTCTATTTGTTTTTATACTCAGCAGGTTTTCAGGCAAATAATTTCTGCTGAAGCCATTTAAAAATCAGTTGCCTCTGAAATGATCTTTTTTACCCAGACCTGCCCTAAACATGACCAGCTTCTGTTTGCCAGTGACCACACAAACCATCCCTTCTTAAATGGCACAAAACACAGGAATAAAAACAAGGGCTCACAAGAATAACAGTGCAGGATCAGAAGTGGGAATAAACTCTAGTTCTGGACATTAAAAGCTGGAAAGCCTTGCCCTAATTCTCTTCCTTAGCTTGGTACATTTTTACCTAAATTATCCTGTATTTTAACTTCAGAGATTTCTTCTGAGTATCTGTTTGCTTGAATTGTAGCAAGAATATTTCAGTAACAAGGTGACAGAACTAGAATTTAAAACAAAGCAAACCCCACCTTCTCAAAATAAATCATTCTATTAAGTAGTATAATGCGCAACAATCATAAAAATGTGAATTCCACACTTCAGTTTTATTTTTTACAGCTTTATAAGCATGGGACAACCCTACTACCTTAGACATTGCCATGAAAATATTGCAACAGTTGCCATCAACTTCCTGAATTTGGGAACCAAATAAGCACTCGGAATTAGCTACTTTTGTCCTGGAATTTCAAGGCACTTTGGCCCTACACAGCCAAAAATCTGTATTTTGTCAGTTCCAACAATAAGATTTTTAGTATCATTTTTACAGCCCAGTTCTACATTTCACAAAGTGTCTCTGATTATGTTACAAAGTTAACTATTAGCTGTGTGCTTTTAATTTCTTTTAATGACACCATTCCAACTCTTTTCACAGTGCTTTGGAGCTGAAGATCCACACTGGAAATGTTAAATCAGAAAAATGTTTGTGTGTGGCTATTGCTTTCTCTCCAAAGGTGAATATAAACAAATATTTAGTTCTGTTGTAAAGGACAGCCCTTCTACCTCCAACTTCAAATCCAGGGCTTAATAAAGACAGGAGGGATATTCATAGGGTTAGTGGTTCAATCTGGTAACATTGTAAAAGTTTAATTTTAAAGCTCTGCAGGAAACCGAAAATTTATTAATACTTTCATTAAATATTTATAAAGTCTGAAATCTTGGGGGGGGGGATATATAAATTATTACTTATTATCTCAATAGAATCCTAATTTTACTACTAGCTTTTATCCATCAGAACTTGGGCATTCTTTCTGGGATATCAGTGCAAGAAAACAGGCAAAGAACTTCTTTAATTCAGGAGTCCAAAGCCTTGCACGAGCAGGAGTATTGTTTGATGACCATTTGGGTCCACCCCAACCATTATTCAGTCCAAGAACTGATCTGGAAATAACTTAAAAACCCAAAACCAATTTGTTCTTGTTTGAATTCAACTGCTGTAAGCCTGACACAAGCATAAAACTGTGGGGGAAAGAAGTGCCTCTACTCTTTCAGTGGTGATTTCTCTGACTGGTCATGCTGCAATGCACATTCCTGTCTGTGTTCTCACTGTACTGGGCAATATCTCAAATACCTGCCTCTTAAAAAAAAAAAAAATAAAATTAAGACATTTCTTAAGAGTTATGTTAGAGGGGAAGGGGAGAAAAACTCCTGCTTCCCAGATTTCATGAGTTCCCCAACACTGTTTCTGATTCTCCCTCACGCCTGCAACCCCTTTAAGCAATCAGCATTTTCAACATCTCTTAGAGCAGATGTTCTCCAGGCACAGTTGAGTCTGCAGGAATAACAGGAAGTCAGGAAAGGTCTCTGCCCCCAACAGGTTGTTCAGATAATTGGTAAGAAAAATAAAAACCCCATTTGCTCCCACAGTCTTTTTGTTTGTATGTTTGATCTGCTTTCAAGATTTTTGGTCTTTTGAGCCAGGAGCTCACTTCAATTGTATGTTTGTTCAAGCTTTCATGTCTCTGTGTCAATTTATCCCCGTTCTCAAGTGATCCTATTGTAGTCAAAATAGCAATTATTTCTGTGTTCAGTTGTTGAAACTTTTTAGCTCTTTCTTTCCCAGTCTGGATCATGTTCCCTTTCATGTCTAACAGGTACAACACTGAAAACATGGACAGATCTGAGGCAGCTCAGTGTTCAGAGCTGCTGCTGCTCTTTCAGGTAAGTTCCATGTAGTTGTCACCGAAAAAAAAAAAAAAAAAAAGAAAAAAACCCTCCATTTATCTGTTCTGAGTACATTTTACACTCGGAAGCATTTCTGCTACTGCGAATAACAGAATCCCTAATTGAAGCAGAGAGGGTTTCTTATTCTGATGTCAGTAAATGATGCACCAGGAAAGCAAAAAAACCATGGAGTTAAGTTGGCAAGAATCCATCTTGTGTGGAGAACTGCACCTTCCTGGAGAGCAGAAGCCTCAGACAACACCAGAACTTGCTGAACTGCTCACCAGAGAATTTATAATCAAATAAACTACAGCCTAACAAACTGAAAATGACTTACAAAACATTTCATGGAACTTCAAAACCAGAGTGAGACACAGACTCCAGATTTCCTGAGGTCAGTTCTCTCTCCTTTCCTCCCTCGGTTTTATCTCAGATGTGCTGGATGATTCACCTCAAGGTTAAGTATTTCACAATGTAGGACAATGATTTGATGCATTTCAGTCACCAAACATGCAGCAAGGTAATGAAGCATCAAAACTACTCTACATTCATAGCAATAACTACTAAAGGTATTATGACCCAAAATTCACAAATATACACACTGAAAACCTAGCTTAAGTTTGGTGGTTTTTTTCTGTGTGTGTATGAAGAACAAAGATTCAAAATTCACCAGGATGTCAACCCTTTAGCTAAGTTGCAAATGAAATGAAAACAGGGCTTAAGAATATTTTTTAAAATTCACAAGTAAGGCAAAAAGAAAGCATTAACAGTTCTGCCAAGTGACTTCAAAAGGCATTGTACAGTAAGCTTTTAGTCTTAGCCTGCATTAACTTGACACATTAATTATCCCATGAATGGTATCCTGAAAATCCTGCTGACAGGAGGCAGATAAACCTCAGACCAGCAGAGGTCAGGATACCATCAGGAGTGTAAGGAGGAGTTTAACACAGAAGCATCACAGGACGGTTATGAAAAGACACCAGATTTGCAATTTAACACCAGCTCAGTAAATAGTTTCTGTGCTGACACGTTGCCTGAGCCAATATAGGACAGGGACCCGAGACGCTCATTTCCCCCCAATAATTTAAGGCCAACTACAAAGCCACGGTGAATCAGAGCTTCAAAACACATCCACCACAGCACCTGCAAGCTGCCTAATATTTATGCTCAGAGACTCACCCCCCTGCTGTGCCCTTCTGATGGAAATGAAATGATACATCCCCTCGCCGTGTTATTAAACGTAATGAAACATGGCAGGAAAACACAACCATTCCAGGCTGTGAGTGCAGGGACACACAGGAACCAACACAAAACAAAAGGGACTCACAGGTTCCCCCTCTTCTACATAAAGGCATCTCTTACTAGTTTCAGGATACAATTGAAGCTTAAAATAATTCATGTATTTTGCTGAGATAACAACAGGCCTGACTGACCAAGGGGAAATACCAACAGCACCCAGACAAGCAGCAATTCAGTTCCCCGTTGTTTTTATCGCTTTCCATGTTCCCAACACATCAGTTGTCCCTTCCAGCAGCAGGAGGAATTTTGGACTGGGACCTGCACCAGCTGTAAATGCAACAATGAGGGGGCCCCAAAGGATCTGTGGGCAAATTAACGTGGCCTCATGGTCGACAGTTCTTATGGGAATTGGAATACGCTTCCTTGGAAATGCAAATCACTAAAATGCTTCATCAACTCATTTCTCAAAGATTTATGTTTCAAAAAGCTGTAAACCTGTAAACTTTTATTTCCTGGTAAAAAAGCCTGGAAGGTAGTGGACTTACCTTTTCTGTCACTGCATCGTGGACAGGAAGCTCCTCTGGACTGAAAAAAAAGACAAAGTTCATGTCAGTCTTGGTTAATGTTAGCACAAAATCATTTCTGTGTAAGTTCTTACAAGTCATCATTTACAGCAGCAATTTATAGTAACTGGCAAACAAGAATTCTGAACCATAAAGAACTAAGATTCACTCAGAAACCCTCGGAATTTATTTTTTAAACACAGTCAAACTCATAATATTTTAAGTACAGAACTAGGATTCTAAATCAAAATAGTCGCACAGCTTAAGAAAAACATTGCATAGCTCAGTAAAAGTCAAGGACTCATTTTTTTTTCTGTGAAAGCACTCTGTGCTGTACTGAACTGCAACCCAAGTGATTTTTATTCTGTTTATTTGACCATACCATTATTAGGTTAAATACCAATTTAAAAAGTTTTCCTCCTTTACTACTGTGCTCTAGGACAGGCACTGAGACTTTGCTTGACTTAAGAGAGTTACCTTCCATTTTCTCAAATGTCTACAAAACTCACTGTCTGTAACAAGGAGAAAGTAGAAAAAAAATCAGATTTTTTACTGGGTATCTAATTAGAACTAAACTTTAAACTCTTTTCACTTCTTAGCCTAAGTATAAAAAGGCAGTTTAAGAACTGAAAGCCTGAAAAGAAACCTTTGAACAGATACACGTTCAGAGTTTTTAATCAGACTTTTTATTCACTCTGGTTTCATTCTGAGGGCTCCAACTTCTGTTTTTATTTAAAGAGATTTGTGTTTTTCATATCAAAAGTAACTGGACCACTTTGATGCCAAATGAGCCTTCCCTTAAAGCTTCTGAAAACACAGCAGCTCATCTGCAAGCAGCAAAAATACCCTTCTTCTGCTCCAGAGGTCAGATAAATAACACACCCATCAAAACTGAGTGTAGAAAGGACTAACAAGCAGGAACCATGTGAAACACTTAAAAAAAATTCCTACTGAGCCTTGATATTATGGAAAAAACCCTCCCTCCCATACCATTACAGCCATTAAACTGCAGTATTTTAGCCCTGCATCAAATCTGGGCAAGATGAAACAGTGGGGAAGGCCACGGAAGGAGTCGCTGCTTATTCAAGCACAGTCTGATGCAAAAGGCTTGAATTATATTCAATCTCATTTATTTAATTTAAAAGGTGGTCATTTCAGATTCAGAAGTTGTATCTGAATAAAGAAATACATTTGAATTACTTCATCTAATGGAAAAGCTCCAATCAACACCTTTTCAGAGACCACACACACAAGGCAAAGTTTCCAATACTCAGCCCAGGACTAATTTTAAAACCAAAAGACTGTTCCTTTCGAGCAGCTTTGCAAAAAGCACAATTCATGCATTTAGAAGCACTTCCCAAGTATCTGAAAGTTTCCCCGGCGAGCAACGTCAAAATCAAAAAAACCTCTTGATTAACATCTAAGACACCAGAAACAGCCTTACTGATTCAGCGCTACCCGAGGTTGTAACTGTCACAAAATATTGTCCACATTGTCATGTAACTAAACCAAACAACTGAAAGCAGGTCCTGAAAGTATGCCAAATATCACCTAAAAATCCAGCTTATTTGAAGGGGGAGTGTCGGGGGGGGAACAAAGGGGACATAAAAATTCAACTTAATATAATCTGCTTGGGGTCGCTGCTCTTTGGTTCGAGGCACAAAGATTCCTAAGCCTTCCCATGTAATTTAAAATTTCCAGTTGTTCAGTGACAGTTGCAGGTCCTGCCCACACCCCACCCCCAGTTGTGCACACAAGGAGCTCCTTTCCCTGCAGTGCTGCCCGCAGTGTGTGCAGGACAAGGATGTGACAGCCCCGAATCCCTGCGGGCTCAACTGGTACCACCTGACAGTCCAGCCATCCTTGGCAGACCCAGCATGGAAGCTGATCACAGGAAGAGATTAATCAAATCTTATTTTTCACAGCATTTTGCAATGGTTTATTAGCTGATTTTCCATCAATATGCAGAGAAAAGGCACGGCCGAAGCTCCTGAGCAGTCCCTGGGAAGCAGACGCTGCAGTCCCTCCCTAAATCAATCCAGCAGCAAATTTATGCCCACATTCCTCGCTATTTCTTGAGCTGCACAGCTGTGCCCTAATGCCACGTGCCTCCAGTGGAATTCCACGGGAGAACTTGAAGCCAGCCCCGTGTTTTCACTCCCTGAGCGCAAAGAGCGCAGGAGCAGCCGCAGGAATCGCCCCGGGCTGCTCAGGAACACACCCGGCTGGAACACACCGAGTTCCTGCAGATCTTCCCCTCAATGAGGGAGACAGCACCAACTACACCCGTGTGCTCATCCACCCAAATATTTAAATCTATCCTGCAAGCACTGAGGAAAGGCATGGTGGGCACACAAACTCTCTCAAGCCCCTAAAGGTATTTTAAATAAATACATTTCCACTTAGTGTATGTGTTTTCTGTGCAGCAGAACCTTACGAATTTTTTTTTTACATGACTAGGTGGGATCAGACACAAAATCAATTAATGTCTATTAATCAATGTTATTTTATTGCACCTTATTTTTTCTTTATAGCGATGAATCCTCCTCCCCTTCCTTCCCCGTCCTAGCCAATCGAATACTGTTATTCCTTCATTATTTCTTTTAATGTTGAATCTTCTCTCATCATCCCCAGCCTATTTAAACTTGCATTTTTCCATGGTTTTTATCTGCACACTTCACCAAATAACAATGTGAAGTAGTAAACAATATTAACATAATATAGCCATATCCTGCCCTAAGATGACTGTTCTCCTTTAACAGCTCAAGTAATATTCATTTAGGGGATACAGAGAGAACAGAACTGATTAACGTAATTAGCTTGGAACCACAAAATCCTTGGTATCCAAAAGAGGAGTCACAGGGATGCTTTGAACTGAACTCACAGAAATAAGGTTTCACTAAGCAGAAATGAAATCTTAACACTCCACTATCCACACTAAAGACAAACCCAAACCAGGCAAAGTCAGCTGTTGAATCAGCCAGGGATCCAGAGTCACTCTCTTGGCCTGTGCCTCTGGCAGGAGCCTCCAGCTCCAGGCATTCCCCCCTGGATCCCCCCAGCAGCTCAGGGCTCTGCCACTGCCAAGCAGCTCTGCAGTTCCAGCACTAAGGCAAAGGGCTGAAGATCTTGTCACCAGGTTTGGGAGCTGCAGAACACTGCAAGTCCAAATCCCAGCTCCAGTAAGGTCCATGCTGGGAATTCTTGCAAGAGGCTCCTCAAAGACACATCACTGGAATCTCGCTCTTACTTCCTTCCAAGGTTTGACTGAACTCGGGACCTCTACCCACAGTCCTCCCTGGTGCTGATCTGCAGCACCAGCCCAAAGTTGCTTTCCCATCTTTCCATCTGGACTATTCCACCTTCTGGTGAGAAAGGCTCTGAGTCCACAGAAACAAGATTTCTTTTTGAGAAACAAGGACTTGATGGAAAACAGAATTTTTTAAGTTGTATTTTAAGGGATGAATGGATTTTACATCTTTAAACCCCCCCACAATGGCTAACGCAGGGTTTCATGAATGTTTCAAGATAACTTAAAATAAATAATGATCTTAAATGCATAAATACCCATCACTTCAGATCATTAAATATGCAGATCTCTGGTTCTGACCATTAAGCTGTGTTGTAATTAGCTTCCTTGAGTAACAGTGGTAGCTTAAATAAATTGAAAAGTCTGAGACTTAACAAGCTTACAGTCACCTACCCGCTGCTGCTGTTTAAATCTTTATCATCACTTTGATATATTTGTTCAATACCATCACGAGGAAAGACTTTCTTGTATTAGCCACTCATCAGATTTACTCTTTTCCTACACTTGTATTTAAATCCCAAGTATGTTCCCTGCTGGCTCAAATCACTGTGTTTTCCTGCTTCTAGTTTGGCTTAAATTTAAGGAATGTAAAGCCTCCTCTATCCGCTGCAGCTTCAGCTGAGGGTGGAAGATGTTTAGTGCAATGATCAGCAGCCTTGATACACTGATCACCCCAGAACTCTTAAATTCCAGAGGATCAATTCAATTCTTCATAGTTACAAACTGGATAAAGCCTGGCAATCAATTTTTCATTGGGAAAAAAAAAAGAAAAAAAAAACAAAGTGGCAAAAATTGACCACGATAAGACTAAAAATCTTTACTGCAAAGCTTAACTGCCCCAAGAATTGTTATGTTCAAAATTTCTTGGTATGTTCTACTTTCGTGTACTTTTCTATTTCAAAACACAGCACTTGCTTAAAAACCCTCTTTACTTGCTGTATTCTTGCCCCAGGGAGAATCAGCCAGTGCACTGTGAAGAACATTGAGGCTCCTTACCCTGAAACATTTGCAGGAATAACTCTAATACATGCAAGCCTTTATTTAATTCAGAAGTCAGCTAAGTTCAATATTCCTGTATCACTGAGCTCAGTATAACACATTAAAAACCCTGGATCCTCAGTGCCTATGCAACATTGTTTCACATAATAAATATAATGTGGGGAAAGTTTCTTGCAGCACCCTCATCTTCAAGGTCTCACTGAGCTGATCATGAAGAAGGAGATGCTGAGCATTCAGTTTGTCATCTGTGATGCACTATTAAGAGTTTAAATCCACGAGGAAAACATATCTGCAACTATTCAGGAGATTCATTTTGAAGGAATTCTTTTTTTAAAAAATTTAAAACCAGTCATTTGTATAATTTTGAAACTTTCACGACTAAGGAATTTGTGAGTGAAACATCCACAAAACCTTTAGTGAGGCATAAAACTCAAAAGCAGAAGTGACATGGAATAAATTCACGCACAGGTAAGGTGTGAGAAGGGAAGAATTCACTTGAGGAGTATCTGGACACAAAAAGCTTTAGTAAAAATGGAGTTGCTTTGCTGTACAACATCAAACTCAGATGGCTGAGTAACAAATTGCAACCTTACAGTCTCCAGGTATATTGGGAAATAGTAAATCTCCCCAAGTAGGACCAGTTTTTAGGCTGTGTGGTTTGTCAGAAGTGAGTTGTAGGAGTCTATAGATTTGCTAGCCAAAAAATAAATGAG